ACTCGGAAGCTGGGATCGAGAGAGCAATGACGAAAACTTAGAATTTAGAAGATGGGAAAGAGCTGCAATCCGCTACATCAGTACCAGATTAAGTACTAAATGCCGGATCTCGCCACGTCACATCTGTGGTATTTAACGGTTCTCAAATGTTTGTTTTCTTTCTTTTTTTCTTTTTTTCTGTTTCAGGGTTGGCTTTGATTACGGTATTGTTTTACTGTTTTATTTTTTTAATATTTATCCAATAATGTATTTATAAAAATAAGATATATTTTTTCCTGTTATTTTTACATCTATTAACTATTATGGTATCAAGTATCATTTTTCCGCGAAAATAGTTTTATTATTTTGTGTTACAAACTATTATTTATTTGTAAATAAAAAACAGTAAAATATTAGTGCAAATATATACATATTATATATAAAAAAATCATAACAAAAGCATCATGTAATATTTAGGCAAGATTTGAAAATGAAAAAAAAAAATTCATAGATATCTTAAGACAGTAAGTAATATCTAACAAAAAAAAAACTAACTTATTAAAGTATATATATATATATAACAAAATCTATTAAATGTTTAATGTGGATAATATTGAAAATTGTACAAAACCTAAGCGAATATCTGGTTAGCAACAAGCCTATATATAACCCTATACATAACTTTTCAAGTCTTGTTCATCTAAAAAACCCTTATATCTCACATCTCTTGTTACAACTTAGAGCTCTCTTCATATATCCCTTTACCCCGTCATGAGTGGCGACGAAGATAGCGTTACTGAGAATCATCTCGATACCAATCTGTACTTAGGGTTTCCTCAACAACAGAATCCCGTAAATGAACAAAACGGGTCGGTTCTTCAAGAACAAGCTCCTGTGGAGGACCAAGGACAGGGTCAAGAACAAGCTCCTGTGGAGGACCAAGACCAGGGTCAAGGGCAGTTCATGCAACTCTTGACATCAGATTCTCCACAAAATATCCAATCCTCTCCTTCTCAACCACATGAGATGACACCTTTGGGAGACTTCACGGCCAACGGCTCAAACCCTTTGATTGTTCCCACGCAATCTGCACCTCCACTAAGCGACTCAGCAGTGGCGGCCCCATGGCGTGATGAACCTTCAGAACAAATCCCTCACCCTCCTGAAGTGAACCAGGTTGCAACCGTGGCCTCGGAAACTCGCCGCAGAGGTCGTCCACCAGGAGGACAAGCACGTCGTATTTCAACAAGAGCGGCGGCTGCGGTTGATAGCAACGTGGAGATCATACCACCGTATCCATGGGCCACCAAAAAGCCAGGCGAAATCCAGTCCATCAGAGACTTGTCTTCCAAGAATTTAAACGTGATCTCTGGACTAGTCCACTGCAAAACTTGCGATAAGACTTACAAGTTGGAGTATAATCTCATGGAGAAATTTTCGGAATTGTATGCATACATTAAGGTGAACAAGGAGGTGATGCGTCAACGAGCCCCGGCTATATGGTCAACCCCGAGACTGATTCCGTGCATGACATGCAAGAGTGAGATGAAGCCTGTCATGTCCGGAAGGAAGGAAGAAATTAACTGGTTGTTTCTTCTGTTAGGGCAGATGTTGGGATGTTGTACTTTGGACCAACTCAGGTTCTTTTGTCAGTTGAACAGTAAACATCGAACCGGTTCTAAGGATCGTGTTCTCTACATAACTTATCTTGGTCTATGCAAACAGCTCGACCCCGAAGGACCATTTAGCCTGTGACTTGTAATGGAATCTGGTCGTACTGATTAACGTATCTTTAGGGTTTGCTTTTGGTTTTCATCATTTTAGGGTTTGTTTTTGGTTTTCATCATTGTCTTTCTTTTGTGTTTTTTTTGGATCGTGTCTTCTCTTTAGGGTTTTTAGGAATCTTTTTATTTGTTTTTTTTTTATAATTTGTGCTTTTGTGGTATTATCTTGTGTAATGATTATCCCAGTAATCATTTGGAAGAATATTTTTTAAAATCTATAAACAATAATCATAGAAAAATAAAATAAAAACAAAAATGAACCAAAAAAAGGTCATGAAGAAACAATTTGTAGATTCTTAATTTGTTTTTTTTTAGTCGAGAACATTGTATATGAAATAAAAAAATTGAGGAAAAAATAAAATTCGATAATGCAACTTAACAAATGGCTTTATCTATATGGAGAATTTACAGTGTAACGGGATCTGAATAATATATGATTTTACGGAAACGTTGTAAATGACATATCTTTAGATTTGCTTTTGGTTTTCCTCGTTGTCTTTCTGTTTTTTGGTTCGTGTGCTCTCTTTAGGAATTTTAGGGATGACGATTCTTTTTTTTTGGTATTATCTTTTGTAATGATTATCCCAGTAATCATTTGGAAGAATTTTTTAAAAAAATCTATAAACAATAATCATAGAAAAATAAAATGAAAATAAAAATGAATAAAAAAAGTCATGAATAAACATTTTGTATATTCTTAATTTGGTGTTATTGTTGGGGGACAAAATTCTATTGTCCATCTTTCGAATTTTAGGAAGGCTTTCATCAAAAGAAAATAAAATAGGGTGTTATTGTTGGGGAAAAATTTCTATTGTCCATCTTTCAAATTTCAGGAAGGCCTTCATCAAAAGAAAATAAAATGAAATAGAGCATACACGCATGATAAAACATACAAAAAGAGATCATTTCCCTCAGTAATAGAGTAATTTGTGATAGATTTGAGGCGAAACATTAAAAATAGAAATTGTTAAAAAATTTATTTAAATTCAGGAAGGATTCCCAAAATATTTAGGAAACATTTATCGAATGTTTCAGGAAGAACTCTTTGAAATTTTTTAGGAAGAACTCTTTGAAATTTCGGAAAGCCTTCCTAAAGTTGGGATATTTATGCGTTTGTGATACATTACCCCTCACTAAATGTAGTCTGTGATACATTGAGACAAAACATAAATAAAAAGATTCAAAGATACATTTTTTTAAATTTAGGAAGGATTTCATAATGTTTGGGAGACGTCCTTTAATTTTATGAAGGTCTTCTTAAATTTCTGAAACCAACCACTATGTGGCTAACTTTGGATTTGTAATTTGTATTTCTCTCGAAATTTGTAGCAAACTCTTGACGAATATAAGCATTAGCTGCAGATTATACATATGGCAAATACGATTGACACCTTAAATGACACCTTAAACTGAGATCTGAAATCATAAATCACAATGAAGTAGGATGCATCATAATACATTCAAGTACAAAATTAATAAATAGGTTACATTTTTTAGAAGGTCAAAAGTTGTAATGATTGGTCAAATAAATTAAATGTTGCAACGGTTCAATTAACGAATTTAAATTCATTAGATATATTTTAGTAATTGAACATAAAAATAATAATTTATATAAAGTTACACCGAGAGACCAGATTGTAGATAATTAAATGTTATAGCTTTTCATAAAACAAACCAAAAGATGTAATTATAAAGACACAACAGTAAAATGAAAAGATACAACTTTAGTTGAACAGATATAAATTTCTAAAAAATCATAACGTAATTTTTTTTTTAATTTAAAAATATATATTAACGAAAATTTTCGTTTTTTTGCTTAAATTTTTTCACTTATTCAAAACAATGTTATATTGGAGAAAAAATAGCAGGCACTAAACTGGCCGGTTTGACCGATTTTGAATGTCTAAACCAGTAAACCAATTTGATTCACAGATTTTAATAAAATCAGGGCGTCCGGATGTTCATTAGCACCTAGGCGGGCGCCTATTTGTCGCCTAGGCCGATTTTTTTAACATACTTTTTGACTTAGTGGTTTTGACCATTTTCCGATAAAAGTGTTCATCGGACTAACCGGTTCTTGCAGGGCACGATAAAATCATTGCCGTAAGCATTGCATAGTGGTGTATTAGAAGGTCAAAAACAGAGTTCATTTGAATGAGAAATGGAGATCCAATGTGGCTACTTTGGATAGTTTGAAATTTGACTTAAAGATCAAATATCACAATTCGGAAGCTAGAGGAGAAACCTAAATGAGATATATGTGTCGAGCCGTGTTATGCCGAACTATGTCATGTTGAGCCGAGTCGGGCCGGGTTTGGGTTTAAGGATTTAGGACTTAAGATATGAATAATGGGTTTACAATCCAAATGATTATTCCTAGCGGCTCAAACTGATCATTGTTGATTAATTCAACAAATATCTATTTTAAAATTGAGTTTTGTAACAACAAAATCAATTCATGACAATTAAAGTTATAAAAAAAAAGTGTAGATGAGCTAATGCGTTGATTTGAGAATTACATGATATAAGAATGATACAAAAAAAGGAATAATAAATTTGGTCGATGAAATTGAACATATATCAACTAAAAAAATATATGCCACTCATCTAGAGACTTCGCCACTTAATTTAGGTTTCACAAACTTTTACAAAGATCTAAACATGTTGGAAGCTAGCTATTGAAGAACATAATTTATCTCATATCAAAACTTTAAATTTTGAATGGAGGACTAAAAATCATGAGAATGTGTTAAAAAAATTGAGGAGACTCTGATTACCTTACAATCCGTCACTTTGAAATTTTATCGATTTTGCTGTATGTGGTGGTTCTTTTATGTGATTAATCTTCGAATTACGAGATATTTTATATGAAGTAGTTGCAATCCGATCATTGGTAAGTCTTAATCATTTCTTATATATAATTTTTCTGCCTAAATAATACTTCTTCTATCTCATTTTATAAAAACATTTTGGCTGAAAGCACACATATATATTAAAAAAAAATTCATTACAAAAGCATCATGTAATATTTAGGCAAGATTTGAAAATGAAAAAATAATATTCATAGATATCTTAAGACAGTAAGTAATATCTTACAAAAAAAAAAACTAACTAATCAAAGTATATATATATATATATATAAAACAAAATCTATTAAATGTTTAATGTGGATAATATTGAAAATTGTACAAAACCTAAGCGAATAATTATATACACATATCTCGTTAGCAACAAGCCTATATATAACCCTATACATAACTTTTCAAGTCTTGTTCATCTAAAAAACCCTTATATCTCACATCTCTTGTTACAACTTAGAGCTCTCTTCATATATCCCTTTACCCCGTCATGAGTGGCGACGAAGATAGCGTTACTGAGAATCATCTCGATACCAATCTGTACTTAGGGTTTCCTCAACAACAGAATCCCGTAAATGAACAAAACGGGTCGGTTCCTCAAGAACAAGCTCCTGTGGAGGACCAAGGACAGGGTCAAGAACAAGCTCCTGTGGAGGACCAAGACCAGGGTCAAGGGCAGTTCATGCAACTCTTGACATCAGATTCTCCACAAAATATCCAATCCTCTCCTTCTCAACCACATGAGATGACACCTTTGGGAGACTTCACGGCCAACGGCTCAAACCCTTTGATTGTTCCCACGCAATCTGCACCTCCACTAAGCGACTCAGCAGTGGCGGCCCCATGGCGTGATGAACCTTCAGAACAAATCCCTCACCCTCCTGAAGTGAACCAGGTTGCAACCGTGGCCTCGGAAACTCGCCGCAGAGGTCGTCCACCAGGAGGACAAGCACGTCGTATTTCAACAAGAGCGGCGGCTGCGGTTGATAGCAACGTGGAGATCATACCACCGTATCCATGGGCCACCAAAAAGCCAGGCGAAATCCAGTCCATCAGAGACTTGTCTTCCAATAATTTAAACGTGATCTCTGGACTAGTCCACTGCAAAACTTGCGATAAGACTTACAAGTTGGAGTATAATCTGATGGAGAAATTTTCGGAATTGTATGGATACATTAAGGTGAACAAGGAGGTGATGCGTCAACGAGCCCCGGCTATATGGTCAACCCCGAGACTGATTCCGTGCATGACATGCAAGAGTGAGATGAAGCCTGTCATGTCCGGAAGGAAGGAAGAAATTAACTGGTTGTTTCTTCTGTTAGGGCAGATGTTGGGATGTTGTACTTTGGACCAACTCAGGTTCTTTTGTCAGTTGAACAGTAAACATCGAACCGGTTCTAAGGATCGTGTTCTCTACATAACTTATCTTGGTCTATGCAAACAGCTCGACCCCGAAGGACCATTTAGCCTGTGACTTGTAATGGAATCTGGTCGTACTGATTAACGTATCTTTAGGGTTTGCTTTTGGTTTTCATCATTTTAGGGTTTGTTTTTGGTTTTCATCATTGTCTTTCTTTTGTGTTTTTTTTGGATCGTGTCTTCTCTTTAGGGTTTTTAGGAATCTTTTTATTTGTTTTTTTTTTTTGATAATTTGTGCTTTTATGGTATTATCTTTTGTAATGATTATCCCAGTAATCATTTGGAAGAATAGTTTTTTAAATCTGTAAACAATAATCATAGAAAAATAAAATGAAAACAAAAATGAACCAAAAAAAAAATCCTGAATAAATAATTTGTAGATTCTTAATTTGTTTTTTTTTTTAAGTCAAGAACATATATAAATTAAAAATTAAGGAAAAAATAAAATTCGATAATGCAACTTAACAAATGGCTTTATCTATATGGAGAATTTGCATTGTAACGGGATCTGATCGTACGGAAACCTAATAACGTATCTTTAGGTTTTGCTTTTGGTTTTCATCATTGTTTTCTTTTTTTTTTGGTTCGTGTGTTCTCTTTAGGATTATTAGGAATGACGAATCTTTTTAAGAGAAATGGTCTTTTATATGCCCAAATCAAATTTTTGGAACATAAATAGCACTCAAAAATTTATTAGAAAAAAATAGCACTATTATTATATTATTATATATACATTTTTAATTAATTATAATGTTTACGACAAAAAAGAGAAGTTTTTACGTCTTCTTCGTGAGATCATCACGAGAAGCTTACGATATCGATTCTGGTGAAACTTCTGGTGCTATTTTTGAAAATAAAACATAAAAGTGTGCTATTTTTGTCGATTGCCCTTCATTTAATTGTTTGCATAGAAAATAAAAATAATACTTCTTTTGCAACAATTATTTTTTGGTTAAAGTACAAATAAATTGAAAGAGAGAGAGAGAGTAAGAATTAAAATAATGAAAAGACAAATATATGTTCTTGACTTAAGAAACCAAATTAAGAATCTACAAAATGTTTATTCATGACTTTTTTTCCTTCATTTTTGTTTTCATAGTGTGAGGTCATGTTAACCAGAGATGCATTAGGTTGCGTTATCGCTTACGCTTGCGTCTTGCGGTGATTACATTTCGTATTTTGCTGTCGATGATTTCAAAGATAGTGGTAGCTGGGATTGGCTTTTTAGCTTCTAATCTTTACCAAATTTTGTTGCACGGTACACTAAATTAGTGACTAAATTGATGGTTATAATGTTGGTCATATAACTTATGTTTGTTGGGTGTATGTCATTTTGTATAACCAATTCTTGATGAGGGTACTTGACATTAATTTAGTTGTTATGTATAGCCATGTAAGTTAATGCTTTGTGAGCTACCAAACATTATTCAAAAAAAAATTAAAATTTTTGACCGGACGGTACACCAAAATAGTGACCAGAATGATGGTTCTGGTGTTGATTAAAAGTGGCAAGTGCAATTCTTTATTAACCTATATTTGTTAGTGATCGATTAGAGATGGCAAGTGAAATTCTTTATTAATTTTCTTATTGGTCACACTCGCCCGATGAAGACTCGGTTCGGGAGTCTTTTGATATCAACGTTCCATTAACCAAATAATGAAATGGAAGCAAGTTTTCTTTCACTCTCATTGTTCATCAACGACTTGTTTCCCTTTGGTCATAACATTGTTCTTTTTGTTTGCGGTGTAGCTCCCGAAGAGACTCTCCATTTCTTCTAAAGGCACACCACGTGTCTCCGGGAGGAAAGTGAAGAAGAAGACCCACGCGGCAGCGGCTACTCCGGCGAAGAGAAGGAAGGCACCACCGATGGTGAGACCCTTAGAAAGAGATAGGAATGTCATTCCTATAATACCACTCATCAGTCTATTCAACATCACTCCCAAACTTGCTCCTTGAGCTCTTAGCCTCACGGGGAATATCTCTGAGCAGTAGACCCACGTCACGGGGCCTGCACCTATAGAGAATGTTGCCACAAAAGTCATCACTGTCGTAACTGCGAGCCCTATAGCCCACTTGAGTGTTTGCCCGGCGTTCCTGTCGATCACCGTGAGACTAGTTCCAAGCAAGGTCAAGGAAATAAACATTCCGCCCATACTCGTAAGCAACAAGGCACGACGTCCAAACCTGTCCACCACACAAGTTCCTACCACGATGAAGAGGGTCTTGACAACTCCGACAGCGACTGTAGCTAAGAGCTGGTCATTCTTGGACTTCAGTCCAGCCCTTGAGAAGATGGTCGGAGAGTAAAGCACAACCGCATCAATTCCGGAGGCTTGTTGGGCGAAGTGGACGCCAAGGCATGCTAGAAGAATGTGTCGAACGGACGGGGTTGGTCGGACGAGAAGGTCCTTCCACACGCCTTTTCCAGCGCTCTTCTTGTTGGGAACGACTATAACATCGTCGGTCATATCAGCGGGGATACCGGCCGCGCGTTTGATGTCATTGAGCCTTGAGATGGCTTCTTCTTTGGTGTTTGAGGTTTTGTCAAGGACTTTAAAAGCGTCCCCGAGACGACCCTGGATGACGAGCCACCGTGGAGACTCAGGCATTGCCAAAACTCCAATGGCGAGAAACACTGAGGGCACCGCTCCAATCCCTAACATGAACCTCCATCCGAGGTGCTCTGGAAGCTTGGCGAAGAAGTAATTGGATACATATCCCAATAGTATACCAATGTTGATAAATATCTGCATATAAAAATCATATCACATTAATATCAACCTTCGTTTTCGGTTTCATTTCATATATACTAATAAATTTGGATCTATTGAACCTCAGGGAAAGAGCTAAGGAAGCCTCGGGAAGAGGCAGGAGCGACTTCTGCGGTGTAAACAGGCGCAATCATCATAGCATAACCGACACCGATACCGGCTACAAAACGGCCAACCATAATGAAAGGATAGTTTGTGGCAAATCCCATGAGAAGGGCGCCGCAAAAGAAGAAAGCTCCTGCCAACACTATTGTATATCGTCTTCCGATCCAATCAGAAGTTCTACCAGCCGCGCCTGAACCGATCAGAGAGTAGATGTTTAGAATTCCCATAAGAATCTCAAGTTGTACGTCCGACAGTTTCAAATCGTCTTTTATGAAAATTGCAGCTCCACTCATCACTCCAATATCTGTAACATCCATAAAATGTAAGGATGATTATCTAAACCGTAAAAACGAACCAAATCTGAAATTGATCGCTAGTGAATGATTAGAAGACGAACCATAACCAAGGATGATAGAAGTCATGGAGGCTAAGATCGCACAAGCAAAAGCAAATCGACTTCTATTCCCTCTAGGTGGCTCGGAATCCGCAACAACAACACCTCGTTCTTCTCCTGAGGAACTCATTGTGTCCACCGTGATTGTAGAACTTACGGTGAAAACGTAAATAGTAAGGAGAAGAGAGTGTGATAGAAGCAGATGAACTTTGTTTCTTGTGAGACACGAGACCTATTGAAATATGGAGAGATTTAAATAGATGAATGATGCTCACAACTGAAGCCAACTAGTTACCAACTGTTTAAATAATAGAAAACATTCAGTTACTTAAAAATCAGTTATAAAGAAACGGTTAAAAAAGTTTCAAGGACAGAAATCGGATTAGAAGATATCAAGAGACGCAGGTTTTTTCTCTCATCTACAAGTTTTGTCCTAAAATTGGCAGTTTACAGTTAGACCAGATCATTTAAGATTTTAAGATTTGTTTCACTTTTTTTTTTTGGTTATTTTCTTTTCTAAACTTAGAAACATAAGTAATATTTCATCCACACATGTCAGATTATTTTAAATCTAAATATAAACATTGCAAGTACGAATTGTGTAGATACATAAAATAAGATCCATTAGCACACTCTCCTGTTACTGATGCTTAATATGTTTCACATAAAACAATCTCTAACATCGTGCCCTCCAATTTTGAAAATGAGATAGATGTGGAGGCTTCTCTAAGTCTACTTTAACAAGCACCCTAGCATGTCTAAGCGTGTGCGTCTCTTCGAGGGCAGTTCCAACTAGGCTGCCCCACAACAATATGGAACATAAATAAGGATGTATGAACGCAATGGTTGGATTTCATTTAGTAAACACATGGGGAATGTTAACAAGTGTTAGTAGTCTCGTTTGAACTCGTGTGCGTATAATGCAATGTTGTCAAGTCAATATTGGTGAGGAAGACTAAAAATTTTAGGAACAAAGTATCAATTTTTCTAGGTTTTACATGATTAGCAGTCTCAAAAACAATAACCTCACACAAAAAGTTTCCACGTAGGGTTCTATAGTCCTTTATGATAGCAAATGATGAAGCAAATGGTAATGTTTTCGGAATCAACAGTTTAGTCCACGAAGGCCCAAACAATCACGCAATCTTGAGATCGTTAAGAACTGTTGTTAGACAAACAAGAGAGAATAGAGTTAAAAGCTCTATCAGTTTAATTATTCAATAAAAGTCTCTTACAAGTTAAGGATCCACATTTATATATAAGAACACCAAAAACCTTGTCTTACTAGAAATCGATACTTATCTAGTATCTTAAAGACTTATCAAAACCTATAAGTAAAAGGAAAACTTTAAAACAAGAATATCCAAAATAAAGATAAAAGAAAACTAGAATAAAACCCAACAGGAGAAGCTCCCTAGTCCCTAGATCAAGGATGCATCCTCAAGAATCTCAAACGTGAGATTGAACTTGGTAACTGAATTCGATGCATCTCAATGATGTAAAGAGAGTTCCACGAGGCTGGCGTTTGTATTTCTATATATATTCAATCTATAATTTTTGTATTTCTATTTTGTTAGAACTGTTTCTTCCGTTTGTCATCATTAGGTAATTTTGTAAAATATAGATTAATAATTTTGCATAACAATTATTTTACTAAGTTAGCATCACATATTAATATTGTTCTATTTTTACAATACAATACATCAAACTTTAAATATTAAAGACTAGTGCATGTTTTTTTTAATAACTACGTGTTTTCGGCCTAGTCCCGTACATTCTCTTAGATTTGTAAACTAAAGCATTTATATAGTTCTCTCCCAAGTT